ATACATCCGAGTAACCGAGTACCGATTTTAGTATTCGATACTCGGACGTTCGATCGAGTACCCGGTTAACCGGGTACTCGTTGACATCCCTAATATTTTCTTATAATGATGGGCAAGTATTCAGTATAATATGTCATGTTTTTATGTGTTAAGTTTTTGAAATGTAGAGGAATGCATTTAAGAGGAAGTAACTCTTACCCATTCACATTACCTGTTTTATTACATTCATTTTTATATCAGATAAAAAATGTTAATGATCAATAAATTATTTCAGTCTTTTAAGAATCTTAATGTTGTGTCTCAGACATACCACTGTACATAGTAATGAATAATTGTTGGAATATGTCAAAATTTGTTGATGATGACATTGTTAAAATATTCCCTGTGGTGAATTCATTTTTTAAAATGTACACAAAAAGCTTGATATTGTTTAAAATAAAACAGATTAAAAAGCATCAAAAGGCATGGAGGTCTCATAAATTTGAAAAACTCGAAAAATTACCAAATTGCTTCACAATTGAAAAAGTCTTATCCCTGCATTGAAATTAAAAAGCATACCTCAAAGAACTGTAATGCAGATACAAAGTTTGTATCACTTATCCCCATTCTGACTTCCAACTCTCGGTGTGTTATGTCCCAACATCTCACAAAACGACATCTAAATAAGGATACCAAAAATGTTTAACATAGATGGGATTTTGAATGTATCAACCCCAGATTATGCTATGTTTATTAGTAAAAAAAATCCTGGTAATTCTAAAATTGAAAAATGAAATATTTTTACTATATACACTGTAAGCATTGCACATTATTTGAAAATATCTTTACTTAATAAATGAGTATGATTTCTATTTATTATACTGTAATTACACATTTTTAAAAATCATTTTCATGAAATACTGAATAGAAAAAGAGCAATTGAGTATATATACCATAGTTTAAATTAAATTGTAATTTTTAGTTTGACGAAGTTTATAGTTTCATCGGAAGGACTGGTTTTCCTGTTTCTTACTGGTATTCGAACCTGTGATGTAAAGATAAGCCCATTACTCCCAGGCTGTAGAGACGCACTACCTTTGTTCCATGCGTCAAAGTTTTTAGAGCAGGTCCCTTTCCATTGTCAGTAACTCTAAGAAACTTGCATGGATATTGATCATGGGATGCACACTAAAATATGATGTGAGATAGCCTTACTTATAGATAAGATTCGTCTAGTAGAGCTTTTCAGCGCACCTGAGCCTAAGGCTCAAGTGAGCTTTTCTGATCAAAATTTGTTTGTCGTCGGTCATTGCCGGCGTCGTCCGTTATTTCCATATCCTTATCATAGTCATCATTAACTTTTCACATTTTCGACTTCTTCTCAAGAATCATGGGGCCAATTTCAACCACATTTGGCACAAAGTATCCTTAGGTGAAGGGGGTTCAAGTTTATTCAAATGAAGGGTCACGTCCTCTTTCAAAGGGAGATAATTTTGAATTAGTGAAAAATTATAATGGCATATCTTAAAAATCTTCTCAAGAACCACTGGGTCAAGAAGGATGAGTCATGTGGAAGCATCCTCAGGTAGTGTAGATTCACATTTGTTCTAATCATGACCCCTTGATGGGGCCACAGGGGGTATTAAAGTTTAACATATGAATACATAGGAAAAGTCTTTAAAAATCTTCTTTGCAAGGACAGCAAAGCCATTATTGGCAATAGTTACTAGTATATGAAAGCATCCCTTGGAAGTATAGATTCAAGTTTGTTCAGATCATGACCCTATTGGGTAGGGTGGGGCCACAATTGGGTATCAAGTTTAACTTAAAAATACATAGGAAAAATCTTTGCAAAAACAGCAAAGTCAGGATTGGTCATAAATAAATGAAAGCATCCTCAGATAGTGTAGATTCAAGTTTGTTCAAATGGTGACCCCTGTGGGTAGCGGCACAGTGGGGGATCAAAGTTTAACATAGGAATAAAAAGTTATGATCAAGGTTAAAAAGATTTTAAAAGTAGGTTAAACTCCAAGATCAAGGTCAGAAGGTCAAGGTTATTGGTATTGAATGAAAGGTCTTGTCACAAGATTTTATACGTGAAGTATGAAAGCCCTAGCCCTTACTCTCTATAAGTTTTTTCCAAAGTTAATGTTTTTTCATGAGTTCGGAAATCTCATGTCAAGGTCAAAAGGTCATGGTTTTGAGTATACAATAAAAGGACTTGCTACAAAGAATACATATGTTAAGTATGGAAATCCTAGCCCTAACCGTTGAAAAATTATTGCCAGGGTTAATGTGTTTTTTTCATAAGTTCAGAAATCTCTAAGGTCAAGGTCAAAAAGTCAAGGTTATTGGTATCCAATAAATTTTCTTGCAACAAAAAATACATATGTGAAGTATGGAAACTCTAGCCCTGACCGTTCAAAAGTTATGGCCAAGATTAAAAAAATTAAAAGTAAGTCAAACTCCAAGGTCAAAGTCAAAAGTCTTGAAATCAAATGAAAGGTCTTGTCACAATTATTAAAAAAATAAAGTATGAAAGCACTAGCTTAACTGTTTAAAAGATCTGGTCAAGGATTGTTTTTTAAAGTAGGTCAAATTCCAAGGTCAAAGCTCTTGATATTCAATGAAGCATCCTCTTGCAAGGATTACATATGTGAAGTATGAAAGCTCTAGCTCTTACCGTTCAAAAGTTAGTACCAAGGTTAAAGTTTTTTCATCAGTAAAAATTTTGAATTTTTGTGTAAAAGTTGGTCAAACTCCAAGGTCAAGGTTAAAAGGTCAAATTTGGTGGTACCCAGAGAAAGGTCTTGTCACAAGGAATACATACATGTATGTGAAATACGATTATCTTGGCTAATTAGCTGGGATATCCCTGATTGCAGATAATGAGGTGTGAACTGTGAACTTCATATGATATAGTATTATATAATCAGTAACTCTACTGTATACAAACAATCTTATAGAACAATTGATAGCTCTCAAAACAATTATTTCAACACAAGAAATTGTGTTATTACTTATACTTAAAGGTACATTGAGTCTACATGATCATTGCTAAGAGCTCTAATTTTTTTTTTCGAAATAATTTAAGCACGGATCGTGTATATGCGTACTGCCAGCATGCAGAATGTTCAAATTCTTGTAAATCACAGTAAAATATTAGATAATTTTTGCAACAATCAAAAGTTATTAAATATGGAGGTTAAAATCCAAACTGCGTAATATAGCTCTGATATTTGGGGGGGGGGGGGGGGGGGGGGGAGAAAATTGAAAGTAATAGACGATTATTAATCGGTTACATTGTCTAAAGTAATCGATTACGGAACAAAACTCTGTAATTGATTATTAATTGATTACGCAAAATTCCTATAAGTAAGGAATATAAAGGCAATATCAATAAAAAAAAATCATCTTAAAAACAGCAAAGCCATTATGTAACATGTTAATTTAAAAGCATCCGCAGGAAGTATAGACTTAACTTTGTTCAAATACCCCTTCCATCCGTAAACCCACTTTTATTAGTATATTTAAACTTTTCAATACTTATTTTTGCTTATACATAGCCAGTTAGTCAGGTGAGCGATGTGGCCCCTGGGCCTCTTTTTGTCACTACCGAGTATTATATAGCATACCGCCGTCTACACGATTGACGATCAATTACACTGAACAGTGACTATGTCAGCAACTTTATATAGGGGTCCTCAGATAAAGCGAGAGACCAACCAAATATGGCGGACAAATCTTTTACGTGTAATGTTCAGATTTAAGTCAATGTACAAAGGTGAGACAAAATCCCATTACACAAGCGCAATTATCTTTGAACACCAAAATCATTAAATTGTATGTCTACCCATTTTTATCAATTGGGAAAATGAAAATAATCAATATTCATTGAAATACATACAATTTGAAATCAAAACACTCAACAAAGACATATTTTATTGTAATAAATTAAATCTATAAGTTTTACAAGGAATGAAAAATTATTTCTGGGGTAAGTATCAAAATCCCTGTTTTCAGTTCTGAAAATCCTAGTGTGGATATGATTTTGCTACTAGCTTTACTTCATTTGTTCAGATGATTTACAGTTTACAGTTGCCCTATACAGAAAACCTTTTATAATGACGATTGTACTGCTCCTCTGCTCCTTTGCAAGGCAAATCAGTTTTCAATTATACAAAGTTTTATTTGACAGATGATTAAAAGACTTTTCATTTAAACAATTACTGGTACGTCATATTTCACAAGACTTTATTAATTAATGCCCTACAGGAGAGCATCAGCTCACTTTTGGCTTTCATAAATTTCAGATTCATTTCTGGATGAATAAAAAATATATATAGTCAATCCCTATTGTATTTATTTGTATTGTAATATCTGATATTTTGATTTACAGTCTGTATGGTTATGCCTGATGGTCCTAAAGAATATGAATATTATGTCGAGTTACACAGCATTGTAATATGCAGAGTCCAATGAGGTAAGTAGTGTAAACAATATTTAATCAGAAAAATTTAATTGGATTAGATCACAGGTACTGCCTGTAAATAGCCTATATTTAACATTTTAAAAAGTATGCACTTACAATGAACTGAATATATCTAACATAGATTATATAATAGTTAGAGAAAAGATGTATACCAAACTTAGCTGACACATGCAGAATGTATTCATGAACACGCTGAAAAGTATAAGAAGTGTTTGTACTACATGTATTAAACTGACAGTTTACTTCCCTAATCAAAGTTCATGAGAAGTGAATTCGGTTGTAGATATTTCTGTTATGTAAACTTGTTTATTTTCAATCTTGTCATTTTTTCTGCACACGCAATTCTAAAACTTTACTCTTAGTTGCTCTTTATCAAGTAATTGTTGTATTTTAATTATTCAACTTCATTTTATGTAGAGAAAATAAGTATACATATATATATTTCAACATGATGATTACATCATTGATTTGTTTACAAAGATGTTTTTCAAAACAGATATTTTATTTTTTTTCACTTGACTGTTTCTCCATTCAGCAACAAACAGATTGTCATTTGTATCTATACACAGTCCCCAGGGATAACTCAGTCCACAGTCGATGTAACGGAGGAACTGTCCATCCTGGTCTATGATGTGGACACAGTTATTGTTATCATCAGCTGCAAGGATGTGGCTCTGACTGTCGGTGGTGATTCCTTCTGGACAGAATGATTTGTTCCTTGGAGCAGAAGTATGTCCAGTGTACATGAATCTCAATTTCCCGGCCTTATTGACCACCACTACTGCTCTAGCTCCACGATCAGACACACAGATATTCGGGGTTCTTGTTCTCAGTAATGTATCTGTCATAATGACCAGAGGAATAGAGACGTTTACCTTTATCATCAAACTGAATGGTTTGTTTCTCTGTGGAGCCAGAGTAACGGACAACTTTTGTTCGTTTTTCATTATCTGCACTGACAATAATAACCAGAAGGTCACCAGAGGAGGTACTGCAGACACCTTTAGGTTTCCAGTTCTGTAGTCTGATCACTTCCTCTATCCTTTCATTCTTCACAATGTTCACAGTTCTATCACTGTAATCAGTATAAACTAAATCTCCACTTTTTGTCACTGCTATGTCCCATGGCCAGTCCCCAGGCTTGGTTCTGATTGACTTGAGTAGTGATCCCTGATTGATGCTGAAGAGTTTCATGGTGCTGTCATTTCTTCTTGTCCAGATTTCTTCACCACTCAGGCAGGCAACAGTGATAAGGTATCTGTCATACCCAGTGTCTATGGTGGTGACAGTCTCTGGTTCATCAAGCAGATGTTTAACTGGAGGAGAGGATCCAGCCTCTGATGATTTCTGCATTGTCTTCATGCTGTAGCAGTCTATAAAAGTAGATGTAGCAGATGACAATGTTCCAAATAGCATGGACAGTTGTTCAGCACGGAGTTTCTTCAAACTAAATGTAGGTAATGAGACCATGATTTTAGGTGGAATCTTTCTGTATTCATCAGTTCCGATGCTAATACCAAATACTTCAGAAATTTCATTAGAGTTTAAGGAAATGTCTATTTTATTGATTTCATCCTCGATGCAAGACATTGTCTTGTCTACTTCATCCAGATGTTTCTGTAGAGTTTGTAACTGCGTGTTTTTCATCTCATCAACTTGAGCTTTAAGTTTCTGGACAAGTTTGTCAATTTTTCTGTGACAGTCCTCTCCATGTTCTGTTATGGCTGTTGAGAGATCTCCATATTCCTTTTCTAACTGACTCATTCTGTTTTGTACATCAGAGACAATGTCCTGGTAGATTGGATAAATTGTTTGTTTTAATTCATTTCTTTTCAAGATAATGTTTTCTTTCTTTTCATCAAGGACCTGTAAAATCTTAATGAATTTATGACCCAGATGTTGATGCGATGCAATACAAGTGTCACAAACAGGAATATCACATTGATCACAGTACATTGTGCATCGTTCTTTGTCATGGTTGAGCATCCAGGGTGGAGGGGAGTAGATTTCCTTGACTGAAAATTGACGACTTTGTGATCCTTGGAATCATCTGTTGAGATGTGTTCTCCCACACAGGCCTTACACAGGTTGACTAGACACGTATCACAGTGCATTTGTACCACAGCGGTCACACACAGGTGACATCGCATCACATCCTGGGCACTGGTACGGGTGTCCATATTTGAAAGTTCTGAAATAAAGATAAAAATTCTCTTGATTTTCTCATAAATTGCTTCAATTTAAGTTTAGTAGTTTGAGTGTTTCCAAATAAAAATATGAGATATTATTGATTATCAATATCTTTAGAAAGGCTTTGTGCAGTACTTTAAAGGTATATCATTGCTATCAACTAAGTCATATGTGACTTCAAAACAGAATTGTAGAGTTTTAAACATATAAAGCCAGTTGAGAAATTTGCTGTATTTATATTTACTGACAGGTATTCTAAAAGTTCTAGTCAATTAAAGCTAGCATGCAGTGTGATAGAAATGGTATTACACGTACCATTACAGGATGATTTGAAGAAAACTTTAAGAGATTTAAACTTTCAATAGCTGTATAATTTCACAGCTTTTATCATTATGCTTGATTTTTAAAAATTTAATTATCTCATAAGTCTTTGCTGTCTTACCACAGTTATTTGTACCGGGAATCACTTTTTGCAACTGCTTTTACCATGTACATGTATACTGAATTTAATTTAATCTAATTTAGTAAAAACATTATTGGATGAATATTGAAAAAAACTATTACTTGCTTTTTGTCACAGTAATGGTGGATTTCTTGTTGACGACCCAGCTCTCTCTGTTACTTGGTAATAGGAAGAACAAAAACACAACTCATTTGTTAGAAAGTATGTCACTCAAGTATCAGTATTCGAGTGCTGCTCATCAGGAAATTAAAACCATACAATATTTCTTTGTTGTTAACTACTTGTCAAGCACATTATACTTACCATGTTTATAAGATACCTAGTGCACATTTTAGAACGACCATGTTTTTACAATAAATAATTTTATCAGCAGTCCCATTAGTGGCAGATAATTATTTTGTTTACATCAAAACTGAAAATTATTATTCAATTTTATGAAAAACATACTATGGTCTTAAAGTTTGTATCAATCTTTTACTTTTTAAATAAACTGGCAATTTGAAGTCTACAAATTTTCAACTGAGTGAAGGTGAATTTACTTACATAGGAAGGACAAATAATACATACATGTAATATGTTTCAAAATCACTATCGTTTAAAGCCTTTTCTACTGGCTTGTGCACGTGTTAAAAACAGAACCAGAACCAGAACCTAATATTTCTTAAATGGAGGTTTGGTAAAAGGATCCTGTCTCAATTCAAAATTGACGCTCCAACTTTCCCTAAATTTAAGATAAAAATTATCAAATGGCAAGCAATGTTAATTATGGTACTTAAAAATGATCTGACTTCTGAGATTTCTGACTTTATAATAGATTTATTGAAGTGAGATTCCTATTCTTTGATTACCTATTTTGGAAATTGAGGCTGGAAAAAAAGATGCATGGAACCTTAAGTTGAATTGGCATATGTATATAATTTGTATTTTCCGAGAAGCAAACAATAGGTACTTTGAAAAAAATGACATGGAAGCTGTAAAGGATGAGGTGACATAACTGCTATCAGGGGCCCGTTTTTCCACGACGAAGTATATTTAATCTACAACGATATTGATAGCGTTCAAACATGATTGAATTGTAACGTTACAGAATAAATACGATGCCTTTTGAATAGTTTCAATTTTTCCGACCTATATTAGTTATAAGGAATATTGCATTATCTACGATTTTTAAAAACTTATAACGGCAAAATTCGATCTGGTTTGGGACAATATGTTCTTTTATGAAGGAGAATGGGCGGGTCCTAGTACAGTAGAGGATATGTTTTTCCGAGGAGTTTACCTTATATGGCAATGTTATTATTTCGCACATAGTCCCTTGCCGAATACAATTGTCCAATCCGATGGCAGAACGACAAAAAATGCTGCTTTACTACATGTTTTCATTTTATCATACTCACATGGTTTAGGTCAATTTACCTTTCATTCTCTTCTACATTTCAAACATTTAATGTCAGTCAAGGTTGTTTATACTTAATAATACGCGTGTATCATCAGCGTTTACGGTCGTGGGCCAAGAAATGCACATTATACCTGTATTCACTGATACTTGGAAATACGTGTAGAGCTACGGGTAGCGAATTACCCACCAAACACTTTAAACACTTTACAAAACTTCAAACTATGATATTTATGAATAAATTGTTTGTCATTGTGATCTCGGAAATCGTACATATATAGATCTGTGTCTAAACTGTGACTCAAATGCTTAAAAAATATTTATCAAAAGTTAGGTAAAATAAGCCCTTTTTCCAAGCATGAAATTTCCTTAAAATTGTTCTGGTACTCACTCGTAACGCATCTCATTTAGTTGATTGGTCATTTAGAAAGTATTGTCAATGCCTCGATTAGCATATGAATTTATTCTTACGTCAGAAAATTCAGTTTCGTCGATCTGTTCATAATGGGAAAGGCTATCTAGATTTTACAATTTTAAAAAAATAGCATGTGAGCGCAGTTAGGTACAATTTTCTCCTTTCACATATGCATATAGGTAGATTTCAATAAAATACAGTGACCAGCCAAAGAAGAAAATTGTACCTATTTTAAGGGCTTCAAAAAGTGGGGCGGAGTCAACATTCAATTGGAATTGGATGTAAACATGATACCCCTACCCAAATAAAAGATCAATATCTTTCAAAGCACGTTTCTTTTTTTGTAAAAAAAAAAGTATTCAATAAAGGTACGCATATCAGTGATTAGTTACATACAAAAAAAATGAGCAAAATTTAATTGGATCGACATTCAATTTTTTGTCAATTTACCGGGGGCCGTAAGTCACCTCATCCTTTGACTTGATATATTATCATCAAACAAACAAAAAAAAACATGTGTTTTTTTAATTGTTGGTTCTTTATGTTACAAATCTGAGTTGTACATCATTAGACAGAGAGAAACATATCCCAGAATTCCTAGAATGGCTGTAGAAACACAATGTAGACACCCGTGCTGTAGAAATCAGAGATTTTTTGACTGTGGGTATGGACTACGGGCCACTAAAGACCTAAATGTATGTAAATATTATTAACAGTTTGTCATTTATGAATAGGAATTATGAAAATTACTTATAGATCTTTACATTTCCTAAAATTATTTTCTTAAGATTCTTTGCAAATTAGAAAAAGTTCACGTTCATATAAACTACCATGGAATGTGTAAGAATACTTAGTATTTTCATTGAGGCGCAAGTGAAGAAAAAATAGTGCAAGCTTTTTATAAAAAAAAATGATCGTTGAATGACAAAAACATGTGGCAAGTAATCAGAAAAATAATATAAGCTATGAATTTAATTTTTGAGAATCCATGAGGTACAAGAATTATAACACTTCACTTTGCATAGTTTTCATGAAGCGCTTAAGTGCGTCATGAATATGCCGGCGTGAAGCATCGTAGTTCATGTCCAAATGAATTCTCAAAAAATTGATTTCATTTCTTAAGTAAGAAAATCAATACTCAGTAGCAAAAGTTTGAATGTGTGTATTATCAGCAGAACGGAAGCACTTCAGAGCTAGGTTTATGAGTCAAAATTGACTTTAACCATGAACAGAACAGCTTTACGTCTAGCCGACAAATTGTTAATGTGATCATACAAACCATTTTTTTCTCTAGACGCCTATTGAAATTCATAACCTACTGGCCCATGACCTATGATGGGCTTGGTTTAGTAAATGTACAATGTATTGTGAAAACACTTCTGACATTTATAACTTTATATAAATATTATTTCATTGTGAAATTACATAACGCAATGAATTTTCTGATAAGGAAATCAAAAGATAACTCATCTAAATATATAATTTCTGTGTTGTAACTTCAGGTTGATTTCAGTCATAATTATTTATGTTATTATTGGATTTGACCCATTCCAGAAAATCCCTAGAAAAATGATGATGACTACAGCAACAGCCAAAGATTCTCTGCTGGGTAAAATTGCCATAGTCATGGGATGTACACTACCACACTTCCTTCAGATGATAGATCTTTCCTTTAGTCTGCAGATGACTGACCAGGTTAAAGTTTCTGCAGCAGGTATATTCCCAAGTCCACATAAGCCCTACCTATACCAAATGTACATGTATGTATATTTTACATAAATATTTGTATCATACCATGATAATATAAATTATAAACATCATTTGATTTTTTTTACAACAATGTTTTTCATTCCAGATATTTGATTTTCTTCACTTGACTTTTTCTATACTGCGCAACAAACAGATTGTCATTTGTATCTGTACACAGTCCCCAGGGATAGCTCAGTCCACAGTCTATGTAATGGAGGAACTGTCCATCCTGGTCTAGGATGTGAACACAGTCATTGTTAAAATCAGCCGTAAGGATGTGACTCTGACTGTCTGTGGTGATTCCCAGTGGACTGAATGGTTGAATCTTTGGAGCAGGAGTATGTCCAGTGTACCTGAATCTCAATTTCCCGGCCTTATTGACCACCACTACTGCTTTAGCTCCACTGTCAGACACACAGATATCAAGGTTCCTGTTCTCAGTTATGTATCTGGTATCAGATGAATAGAATGGTTTACCTTTATCATCAAACTGAATGGTTTGTTTCTCTGTGGAGCCAAAGTAACGGACAACTTTGTTTGGTTTGTAATCATCACTGATCGTGATAACCAGGAGGTCACCAGAGGAGGTACTACAGACACCTTGAGGTCTCCAGTTTTGTAGTCTTATAACCTCTTCTATTTTCTCATTCTTTACAATGTTCACAGTTCTATCCCAGTAATCAGAATAAACTAGATCTCCACTTTTTGTCACTGCTATGTTACTCGGTTCGTACTCTGACATGGTTTTGATTGACTGGAGTAGTGATCCCTGATCGATGCTGTGGAGATTCATGATGTTGTCATTTCCACTTGTCCAGATTTCTTCATCACTTAGCCAGGCTACATTGCAAAGATAATATTGATACCAAGTGTGTATGGTGGTGACAGTCTCTGGTTCATCAAGCAGCTGTTTGACTGGAAGAGAGGATTCAGCTTCTGGTGATTTCTGTGTTGTCTTCATGCTGTACTTGTAGCCATGTTCTATAAAAGTAGATGTAGCAGATGACGATGACAGTGTTCCAAATAGCGAAGACAATTGTTCAGCAGGGAGTTTCTTCAAATTAAATGTAGGTAATGAGACCATGATTTTAGGTGGAATCTTTCTGTATTTATCAATTTCAAAGCTGATACCAAATACATCAGAAATGTCATTAGAGTTTAAGGAAATGTCGATTTCATCAGAAACATAATCAATATCAGACATTTTCTGGTTTATTTCATCTAGATGTTTCTGTAGAGTTTGTAACTGCGTGTTTTTCATCTCATCAACTTCAGCTTTAAGTTGTTGGACAAGTTTATCAATTTCTCTGTGCCAGTCCTCTCCATGTTTTGTTATGGTTGTTGAGAGATCTCCAAATTCCTTTTCTAACTGACTCATTCTGTTTTGTACATCAGAGGCAATGTCCTGGTAGGTAGGGTAAATTTTCTCTGTTAATTCATTTCTTTGCAGGATAATGTTTTCTTTCTTTTTATCCAGGGCTTGCAATATTTTTGTGAATTTATGACCGAGATGTTGGTCAGATGCAATACAAGTTTCACAAACAGGAATGTCACATTGGTAACAGTACATTGTGCATCGTTCTTTAACATGAGTTGTACAATTAGAGTAAACGGACGTAGATTTTCTGGCCTGAAATTTGACGACTTTGTGGTCTTTGGATTCATCTGTTGATATATGTTCTCCCACACAGACCTTACAAAGGTTGACAAGACATGTATCACAGTGCATCTGTACCACAGCGGTCTCACACAGGTCACATCGCATCACGTCCTGGGCACTGGTACGGGGGTCCATAATTGATATCTCTGAAATATGATTTCATGCCTGGTTTAGTTGATCTCAATTACAAAGCAAACACGGGAGGAACGTTTACTTTATAGTGATAGGTTCTTCCATAAAGGAAGAAATAAATTAATTAAAGTTTTGCTTTTCTAAAAAGATATATGGAATCTTTTTCATTCTTGGGGTCAATTTATGGGCGTAATACCATGTGTTAATTACTTGTATACAGAAGATACAATTACTATGTATTCAGTGTATTGACAAATAATTGTTCATGACGATATAAATTCGTGGGTAAAGGTGATCCATGAAGTTAACAAACATTATTCCCCGTGAACAATAATGATTCCACTGTATTTTGAAATACTATCCCATGGTAGGTTAGTAGAGATAAGAAGATTTGTCAGATGGTAATTTCTTGGATACTCAGTTTTCACAAATAAATGTAGTAAGAGATAAGTTTCAGTGACATGATTATGAATAACTTTAAAAAATTCACGTCATAACAACTTTGAAGATGTAGACACTTTTTATCTATAGTTATAGTCGCCCGCGTGGACTAACAATTAGTATGAAAAAAGTCAGTCAGCATTTGACTCAATGATAAATTGTATTAGCTGATAATGCTTCATTGTATCGACCATAGAACTTAGGAAATGATGATTTTAAAGGAGACTGTTCATCAACTTGTTTGTCAATAATTTACCTCGTTTCAGAAATTGTTCATAGTTACGTAAAGCATGCTCTTGCGTAATGAATCAGTTGAGATATATATATATACTCCGTATGAAGGTGATGAAGGTACCAATATATTGTGCTGCATAAGTAAGGGAAGTTGACGAGAGAAAAGTTGAAGTCAACGCGTTTATCGTATAGCTTGGTTGCTATCTTACCATTAACTTCTTTTTCAGGTAAAATATCCAAGTATGAAACAGATGTATCAGACTCTGTGGTATCTTCTATGTCAAGCTTAACAGGATATATCGTATCGACGTAGGAATGGAAATTACCATTGTTAATTGACAATGCGTCGTCAATGTATCTAAATGTCGAGTTGGAGGCCACAGCAAGTGTTTTCTTCTTTTCACGCATAAGATGATTTTGCACAAATTCTGCTTCATATGAATACAAAAATAGGTCTGCTAATAAAGGAGTGCAATTGGTACACATGGGAATTCCAATAGATTGTTGGTATACCTGGTCTCCAAAAACCGCATAGATATTGTCAATAAGAAACTCAAGCATATCTTTGATGTCAACTTCAGAGTACTTGTGTGTGCAATCAGAACGTATTTTAATGTGTAAATGCGTTATAAAAATGAAAGTTCATTTTGTAAATTTATGCTTCATTTTCAAAGCTGCTTTATCAAAGAGCATTCTAGGCAATTTTGTTTTCTTTTGTAAAGTTAATTAACATCAATGTAGAAAGAAGGATAAGATGTAAAAATCTGAGACAATCTTACATATCTGAAAAAATGTTTTGGGTAGCACTTTAGAACAAATCGAAGGTCTATCAGGGAATCAACTTAGTCATTTGTTACATTACAATAAAATTAATTTAAACTGGACGATCCCTGTTTGGAAATTGGCTGTATTTATACTGGTAGGTATCCTACAAGTTAAGTATGTTGTGTATCATGGTTATAGAAAGATTTGAGTGCATAAAAAATGTTTGTTTAACTTTTACATAGCTGTTTAAAATTCAATGTACGTAGGGTTGATCGATATGATTATGCCTGAATTTGCGTGTGTTATTATTTTGAATGGTTCATCGATCTCTTGAGTTTAAACAGAATTATTTGTATTACTTATATCTAATACCTAAATATGATATATTATTTAAGTCATTTTTTGATCGATATGGAAGAGTATTATTACCTGAGTTGTTTTTCAGAAATGGCGGATTCTCTCTTGATATGTTCCATATATTACCCGTCTCTGTGTACTTGGATCACGTGACACTCATTTCTGTGTTATCTACCTTTCAGGTGGAGACAGGTGTTTAATATTCTTCTCAGTCTAAATTTTCGAAAGGAATTTCAATTTAAAATCTTTAAAACGTGTGCCTCTTTATACTGGGACTATATTTAATTCAGAAAAGAGTTCAAAAGACCTAGATTAAACAGGTCCAGTTAAAAAAATTGAATTACATGCATCTATGAAGTTCATAGCGAGAACAAAAACGGAGTTAATTGTGCATGAATAACGGTATCACAACAAGTAAAAATCAAAGAGTTCAAGTATCTCCCACTAAATTCAGTACCTTTAAAGTACATAGAAAAAATTAAAACATACAATATTATTAAATTGTGATTTGTATTATTGTTATTTGTAATGCATGATCAACTTTAAGGGATCATTTTACCATTAATTTGATACCCTGCGTTGGTCTAACATGTCTAATACCCAATCATATTTTGACAACAAATAAAATCATTAGCACCTCAGTCAGTGGCAAAATATTGTTTTCCCCTCAAGACTGAATGTCACCTCTCAAATTAAATGCATGAAATTGAACATGTTCTGTTTTATGAATTTGTAGGGAAATTCTGTGAATATCTTAAATGAATTGGTAATTTTAAGTTTACAATACTTTTATATATGTGAATATATGTGAAAGCTGAAAAAATCAAGTAAGGGTATAGCTAATGTGAAACTCAGCGTACATCAACAAATTCTTTTATTGGCGAGGGGATAAAAACACACAACTAGTTAGATAAAAATCATATCCAACTACAAATCATGGGAAATTATTATTATCCCATGTTTAAAACTTCACAATCAATGTTTTAAACTGTTTTCATATACCGGGTATTAGGACTCAACTTTTCATTTTACTTTTTACTTTATTTTTTCATTTTACTTCATCATGCTACCGCAAAAACGCTTTCGACGTAAGACTCAAACAGTTGGATACCAAAAAAGTATTCATTGAGTCATATCCATGGGATAAAGGGGTAAACATGGGATAAACAAAAACGATCCCTCATTAATTGTGGTTGGGTATGGTTTTTATCCAAATCACAAGGCTCGGGAATATAAAACACAACTCATTCAACAAAAATCCTATATCCAACAGTCATTGGAGATCCTATATTTTTAGTCTGTGTGGTGATGTCTTCTTTAATTTGTTTAACAGCCTGCATCGTGAAACTAACAGTTTACTTCTATAATCAAATTTCATGTGAAATTAATTGGTTTTAGATAGTTTAATTCTTCATAATCGAAGATTGTAGGCATACAGTTTTAGTTCTTTCCGTCAATTTTCCTTCTTGTTCATCTATAACAGCTTTAACCTTGCCGAAAACTTTTGACCCGTGAAGACAAAAAATTCATAACTTAAATGCATGTTCGGGTACCAACATACATAAGACTTCTTTACCTTCGCGTTCAACCCACTTTTGAAGAATATTATCAAACTTTAACCTTGTCAATAACTTTTAAACAGTTTTATAAAATATTTTATATCAAATGTGGTTCTTTGTTTAAAGACCTTCACTTGGATACAAATATTTTTTTTTCATCTTTTGATCTTAACCTTGGAATTAGACCTATACTTGAGAAACTTTGTCTTAAATATATTCATTGAATAATTATAAAGATTTCAGATTTCACGCATATATTCTATGTTTGACAGACCAACAATTCTATAAGCTTTTGATCTAGATCTTGCGTCTTTTTTTTTGTTCAAATGTTTTCCTTTTGATAAAAATTTATGTACCAACAATTTTACCCGTTGACCTTAATCTTGGAATTTAACGTACTTTAAAAAATCTTTACCATATATTTTGGAATGGATGGAGCCAGACGTATAAATACTTTAATCTTCAAGTTCAGTGAATCTTGACCATGACACTTGAAGGGTTGGTGTTAGGACTTTCATATAAACCAGATGTGTTTTCGTTGTGACAAGAGCTTAGAATTTCTTTGTATATCAAGAAGTTTGGCATCTGAACCCTTACCTTACAGTTTCAATAAAAACATATTTAATCTTTACATGATTTCTGCATCAATGTCGCTAGGATTTAATATTTCATCCTTGAACTTGCATTTGAGAACCTTTATCCTGTTTTTTTTTTACCTTTACCTCAACATACCCTGCTTTCCATGGGCATCTATCAGTGTTTCTCAAATACATCTTCTTCATACCACATGTATTGTCGCCCGGGTGGCGCTATGATTAGAACGTCTGCTGTAGAGTCGCGAAGTAAGGAGTTGAACCTTGCGTCGCGGGTTCGAATCCTACTGTGGAACTGGTCCTTCGAATGAGACCGTATAAACTGGGGTCCCGTGTCACAGTAGGTGCTGGCACGAAAAAGGTTTTTCACTGCTTCATACCATTGAGTGCCGAATATGGGCTCTCCACCGGCAAGGGATGACGTCTCCATATGAGTGAAAAATTCTCGAGAGGGAAGGTAAACAACATGCAATCAGTCATACATGTGTTTGTTTTTTATGCTGGGAAAGAAATGCTAGTAGATTGTGATTTGTATCTACACACACTTCGGAAACTTTACGCTTGCCAGGTAGTTGTTATCTATCTGTTAAAAATGTTTGACCTCATACTACGAATTCTTTGTGTCAATGATACTTAAATGCATACCCATGAATTCAAAAGAAAATAAAAATCATTGATTTGGGTTACACTGATGAATTTCACCGCAGATATGTAATTTCCTTCACCTGTGAGTTACCCCATTGAGCAACAAACAGATTGTCATTTGTATTTGTGCATAGTCCATAGGGATCAC